CAAGAAGGCATAATTCTTTATCCTTGGCTTGTTTTTGAAGCGCTGTTTTCCTTCCTTAGCACTGATCTTCGGTTACAGAGAATACTGCTTTCAGTAGTTGAACCAAAGCATGTGTATTTCGTAAAAATAAGCTACGGGCCATTATATTAATATTTCTTGGAAATCCTTGTCACCTTTTTTTTTTTTACCGAGAAATTAGAATTTCTAATCCGACTCAGTCTTAAATAACAGCAGTCAGCAAAATAGAGCATGCGTAGACTTTAATTATGTCACGTGATAATCTAGCTCCGCCCCCTCCTAATCACTTCGCAAAATATTGACATTGATTAACAGCAAGGCAGATGCTAATTAGTCAGCACATAGACGGTAAACCTATAGCAGAAACCCGCAATGGTCTTCTGGGTAATAGGTTACGTCATTTAAATCCATGTATGGGTACTATTGCGCAACTTTGCCATTTTGTCGCGGAGAAAAAAAAAATACAAAAAAAACAAAGGCATTTTATAGCTGGTATACCACAGGTATCCCAGCAATTATTGTAATTGACCGTACGAATTGTCAACGAAAAGCAATATACTATCTCTTTGCTTTTCCTAAGTATACACCTTTATATAGTACATGTTCATAGTCTGGCAGTTGCTGATCGGATTGAAAAACTAGAACAGTTCTTAATATCATTTCACAATGATAGTATGATTGGCATGATAGTATGTTGACTCTGTTTTTTTGCTAACTTTCAATCTTTCAGTCCGATGTGTTAATTAACTGCCAGGGGCATTTGATATTTTTCTCTTATTCTCTCTACTTCATTATATACACACCTAACGCATAATTTATTACTTCAATCTTTCAGTCTCCTTATCGTACCAGCTTCTGTATTCCTTCGTGGTCAACACAAAATCAAAAGGTGCTGGMGGAACACCATTCTCATGAGGTCGAAGCTTGCCAGAACAACCATAACAAACGCGCGCTTTCGTTTTGTCGAGCCATTTTATTTGAAACTGAGCAGAGTTATCGGACGCTTCCGTGTTACTAGGCGGCAGAGTTGGCCTTCTATCAGTGTACAGGAGCTCATTTCGATTGTTTGTGGGAGCCCTTCTTTTCCCTTGACGCTCAATCTGACTTGGTTGCTTTAAGGTGCAGATCTTGATGCAGCGGCCGTTATGTTGGGGGCACCTTCATTGTGAAATGATATTAAGATGATATACAAGCACCGGAAGTCACCACATAACAATGGCTAAATCATAAGCCATATCACCAGGCAAAGAAGAAAATATATAAACATCTTTACTAGTATATAGAACATGATAGAATGAACATGTATTTTAGAGATGTATACTTACGACTATTTTCATTGTAACGCGCTGAACGAGACAACAGTGGCGATAGTGTTCAATCACACAAATAGTTCGGTACCTTTATATACTTTTATATTTTTATTATATAATTTGCAATATAATAGGTTTGTAAGGGGAAAAAAAATACTATACAAATTGATACAAATTCAAAACGATAATTATTATCAAATATATCTAGTCTGCAATCTGCGTTTGTCCGACACCGCGCATGCACGCATCCGCTGATGTATAACAAGGTGATTGCAGGCTACAGAGGTGGCCACTGACCCGTGACGTATGGTTTGGGCCTTGTTTGAACCATTGCGCGGTCATTTAAATTGATATTTTTGGTGGTTACATTGTTTGTAAACTAATTTTATTGCTCTCACAAAAGGTGTTCAGTTTGTAAGCACTACGAGAACAAAGCAAAGTCAGCCACAAGTTTTAAAAGTGATTTCAAGCAGTGTTTTGGAATTGAAACAATTAGCGAGCAACTGCCGGGGCAGCCGCCGAATTTCGAAAAAGCGGAAAAACTTTTCTCCATGTAAGTAGTTTTTTATTTTTTCATAAATTTCCCAAAAGTAGAATCTGCATATGTTTTATACAAAGTATATATCACTGAGTACGCACTTTGTTGCAGCTCTTTGTTGCCGGGAAAGGGGAAGACCAAAAAAGAAGAAGAATTTCAAGGCTTCTATGCGACGGGTGCGGGTGTGGCTCCTTCGACAATTTCAACCAGCACTCAAACCGAAGCTGTAGCAAACATATATTGGATATGAATGTAATGGGTGGCAAGTTAAAGACACGTGTTTTTGCCAGATCCTCCGTGGCCATGGCGGCAAAACCATTCTCCCCCCTGGACTTTTTGAGGACGTTTCACAACACATGAAAGGACTATCACAACGTAAGTCATATTTATTTCAGTTCTTTCTTAATTCAAAATGTTTACCATTGACATATTCTATTTCAGGTTGCGACCTCCAGACAGAACTCAGCTATTGCGAACAAGACTATTTAATGAATTCACTGTGTCCAAGCGGTTTTTATACATATATTACTTGCAAAAATATTATTATTTTTGGTATAAGCCGATTTTTTGCGGCATGAAACTTAAGATCATATGAAAACACTGTTATCGTACAATATAAATATTGCAAGCTAAGGGTGGAGATAGCGTATGGATTTTGAGAAATTTCAAAACAAACATTTCTCTCTAACGTAATTTATGCAAGAAAATATTGTGCACACAACATTGGTGGATAACTAATGAAATAAATACCCGATTTCTAAAATATCTTTCTTCCTTGGAGATGAACAGCAATATTACCAAAGCCACATAAAAAAATGGCAAATGAATTTTGATTAGCCTGATGCTTCTTGTAAAAGGAAGATATAATTTATACATAGGCTTCAAACTCCCCCCAAAAAAACAACGTAAATACACCTTGAAGCCGACTTTTGTCTCTAAAATAACCTGTATTTTTCGAATGAAGGAGGATTTCTGGTAATAAAAAGCCAACACAAGGTGGATATAGCGTCTAGTTTTAGAGTGATGGCTACTCGAACATTTACTAAAATTTGAACATGTAAGTGATTTGATATAGAATAAGGATACTTTTTGTATATATACAAAATGTCGATCACAGTTAGGGTTTGCCAAGATATTATAATTATTAATAAACTCTTATCAAGTGTATCCATATCTATACGATGTACCTCTGGCACTGAATATTTGAGGGTATTTTACTTGTGTTATATATGGGCAATGAAGGCAGCCATGACACTTTTGCAGTGTTTTCTTCGCGCTAAAAAGTCCATTCTGTCAAGAAAACTAATCTCTTTTTTCATCATATTAGTTGACCAGAAGATGAACTAGTCGTATCTTGTTTTAAAATGTTTAAAGCACTAGTAAATTAGGTAAAAATATTAGATTAAATACGTAAACAATGCAGTATTCTTGCTCACCTGGCTATGCACTCGTGTTCAGTCAAGCATTTCGGCGCGTGCGCATGCAAAATTCCCTCCTGTTAGCTTTCATAAGTTATAGGTTGGGGAGGGAGGGGTGGGGGGTTGGATATTTAGAGAGGCCATAAATGGAATACCAGTAGACCTAATAAATATTTGCGTACTTTCGATACATGGTAATAATCTTTATACGTCGGTAAGATTAAAAAAGAAAAAAGTAAATTCAATACCAAAGTTCTACTTTCTTTTATTTTTGGCCATTTTGTTTGTCCCATCCCAATCGCCGAACCTGCTTTTCTGATTTATAACTAGCAGTATTTTGTACTAAATAGCATTGATAAAACAATAGATACTGTCATTTTGTAATATTTCGTACAAAATCAATTTAGACTGTTAGTCAAATTCAGTGCAGCACTCTAGTAAAGAATATGTAGCATTTTCCTGGAGAAATAGAAAACACGCGCGCGTGCTGTGTGCTGTCATAAAGCACGCGGGGGTTGGCAGAACACGAGAAGTATTAGGAGAACCACGACGCGTAGCGGAGTGCTTCTGGACACTTCTCGAGTGTTCTGCCAATCCCAAGTGCTTTATGACTGCACATAGCACAACAAGCGAGTTTTTTATTTCTTTTATAAAATACAATTTACAATAATAGATAGGAATGAAGCAACGGAAAGTGCGCGCGCGTGCAATGTGCTTTCATAAAACACGCGCTCCAAGCCAATCAGAACGCGACATTCATAACAGTTATTTCATAAATATTCTTATAAGACGTCAAGTAGTAAAAACAGGATAACCAAGAAATTAAAAGGGTGTAAAAAGCACTAGGGTGTGTCTATCCCAGGCATATATATAAGAGGAGTGCTTTGGTATTGTTTTTTTCCATTGCTGAGCATTGCCGAGCGAAAATTGACGCGCGAGACTGAGGATGGTGTTAAAAGAACGAAACTCACCTACTTTTACCCCAGCTTTTACGCGGCCATAACGAACATAACCACAGGAAGCCCAAGCAATGTACTTGTGACATAACCAATGTAACCCAAAACCACCTCCTAATAAAGCCAAACACTCGTTGACCACAAGCAAATAGCCATCTGAATCAGAATCTTTACCAATATTGTCGTTGAAATTAGCCTTGTTAATTACTCTATAAATAGCATTGACCATAAAGAAGTCTTACACAATTTATTCAAGGAAAATGGTAAAGTTACTCTTCACACATTTTACTTGGTAAAGGAACATAAAGACTACTACCATCCAGGTTTAATCTCTACGTCAATCGATCCCGAGAGCCTGCTTATTGGTTGTTATATGAAAAGCTTTTTTATGGGAAACGACCTTAGTTCGTTATTGTACGACTTCGGACTTTGGTCCTGTGACTTGCATAGATGATTGAGAAAGTAGGCATATATATATATATAAGGTTACAATGTGGAATATTATAACAGGTTACAAAAATATTACACTAACCATCAATTATTAAGTTATTACTGTAACTCATTTTTAAAAATTACATATTTTTGTTTCTGGTGTCAACGTTGTGGAACTTCGAAACCATTCAAATTGTTATTCATTGACAAAATTGTCTTCAGCTTGTTGGCGTGGATGTCATCAAAATCCAAGCCATCAACAGACATGACAGGCTTGAGTCGCAGGCCATCACAAACACCACGAGACACCAACCACTCGAGAACCTTTCTCTCCTGCATGACAATAAAATACGAACTTGTTAAAAAAAAATAAACGAACGAACAAACAAATAAACGGACGGACGGACGGAAGGACGGACGGACGAACGAACGAACGAACGACCAACCCAACCGAGCGACCACCCAGCAACCTTCCAAGTAAGCGAGAACCAGAAACCTTCGAATAACCCACCCATTTTCACCCACCATGCAACAATAAGACAGGGAAAAATTGTTTTCTATTAGTCACCTGATCAACCGTGTTTAGTACTTCTTCTTCACATCTTTCCTGGTGTTCACCAATGCCATGTCTGACGTATCGCGAATGAATGAGACAGTTTTGTAAGATGAATACAGCCATGGCAAGAGCCCAACCACCCCAGTTAGAAACACCAGCAGTAATCAAATGGTTAACAGGTACATTACATGCGATCTCTTGACCATTCTTGATGTGCTGAATTGTCTTATGCTTGACATTGCCCATTCCTATTTCATTGCCACCATCGCCAATTCCTATCGTAGCGACCGCTGCCTTGCTTCCTTGGTAACGAGCAGCTATAAAAGAAAAACAAAATATCTATTACTATTTCTTGTACAACCTCAATTAATCTTATGCAAGCATAGCTAGAAAGTCGAGCACAGTTTATGCGCTTTTAATTGTACCTTGTAGGAAGAGTTCATCTACAGAGGTCTTTCTACAACATTCTGTAATATCATTGTTGTTCATGGTCTTGTAGGTCCCTTTATCTGTTCTACCAGCAGCCTCAATTGACACCAGAACATCAAACCTTGGTTTGTTTTCTACACCTGATGGGTAAAGGAATTTCTTTGCTGCTTCCTCAATCGATTCACCTTTACCTGGAGTGAACTGCTCAACTTCAACTACATCCTGTAATATTCCTATCTCAACACAATGTAAAACAAAATCACTCATTAACTTTCCGTTGTAATGGCTTGACACTAAAGTGACTTTCTTGCCAAGAGCTTGGAATGCTTTAGCCATTGATAATGCACCAGGAGGCCCATCAGTCTCGTCTGGAGGATCATGACCTACATTGATTGGGAATCCAGTTACTATAGCAACAGATGAAGCGTGCGACACCCTTAAGGCTGCTTTAACCAGTTGGCCAACAGTGTGAAGATGCTCAACACCTCTTTTTCCAGGGTCATCTTGGATGAGGCTTTCAATATGATTGATTTGTTGGAGGGCATTGGTTCCAAGCACAGATGCATAGAACGGATTATCTTGTAGAGTAATGACCTTGGGCTGCTCATTGCCATGTGGCGGAGGCTTGTTTTTAAAATACTCCTCAGTGGAGATATCACAAAAAAACATGCGGCCAGGAAAATGGGAGAAGCAAATTTCTGGTTCTAAAAGTGAGAGAAGAAAAAAAAATTAGTTGTCAGGTTTCGTTATATTTTAATCACCTTTTTTTTCCAGTGCCATAACCTTTGCTGAAAATTGAAAATCTGTTCTGTTTTGACATAAGAAGTACCCACACATCTTTAAAAATGGTATAACAGTGTAACATAAACTGCTGTGTTAAATTTAATTAAATGGAAATTTAAGTAAATGCTGTACCGTTTTTATTATTGAAGCCTATAAAATGACAGGAAATAGAAAAGGACAGAAATTATCAGAGTTGGAAATTGTATGTTTTCAATATTCAATTAAAAAACCATGCTTGTTTTACAAGGGTTTAATTAATAGCCAGTGGCTAACAAGCCTGTGGCCCTCGCTACATGAGCTAATTGGACTTTTGGGAGTTGACTTTTGAGGAGGGAAGAAAGCCAGAGAACCAAGAGAAAAAACCTCAACACACAGGAGAGAACCAACTACATGTAGAAGCTCTACTCACACACAACATTGAGCCCTGCGAGACTCAATTCACTTCCTCATGCCTTCCTTTATTGGCACAATAGTGCAAGTACATCAAAATGTAGATTGACACAAAAATACATGTAGTAGAATAGTATACTTCATAAGACGATTGGCGCTCCATATTGAGGGCCACAGGTTTATTAGTGTAGTACACTATTAGTGCCACCCTCATTAAATAAAGTTGTTATTATTATTATTATTATATATAGACATTCTCAACTTACTAGAAGATTTTATTGCTTTAGATGTTGTGACACCACAAGCCCAAAACACTGGAACATGGCCCTCATCAATATGTGTAGAATCACCCATGTCCTGTTTTAAGACATCTGCAATACCAATCTTTGATGGATCCCCAATATGTATTGGTGCTCCATGAACTGCATCATATCTTGCTGTGATGGCTACAGCCTTTTCAATAAGATCTTTTTTAATGGGTCTCATAGATACGACCATGCCAGGGCAGCTAAACCTTCCAACTGGAATACATGGGATATTCGTAACATACATGGAAACTGCTTTCTTTTCCTCTGCATTTTGTACAGGAATACCAGCTTGAATTAAAGCATCTTCAAAGGAAAAGCTGCATCCAATGTAAAATGTAACCATGTCTTGCCATGGGTATTCTGTCAGTTGCCATGCATCGGATATATGTTCAGCACCAGATTCCTTGTCATATCGATAAACTATGTATTTGGTGAGGTCGGTTCTTTAATAGAAATTTTGGTAGGACAGAAAAATAATTTATTATGGTATATTTTTTTGTACACTTTCCATTCTCAGGAGTTGACATTAACCAATTTCTTAATGAGTTTGAGCAATCTTAAAATTATCAAGACTAAGGGTCTGTTATCTGCCATAGCTGTAGGCCAGTACTAACTGCATCTATCTGTAACTAATTTTTATTTTGCAATCAAATGTGTACATATTTAATACTGTACTTAAAGTGCCTATCACCCTTCTGACAATATTCACAGTATTGGTTCTACATGGGGTAAGATGTGGAAAAGCCCGAAAAAATTTCATAGTTTGAGTGTGGCGTCTTGAAGTTATAAAGGTTTTTCCATGCCATAAGCTAATGTTGTGACGTATGAGGAGTAATAATTTAATATGCAAAACCTTACTGGCACAGATAAATTAAAATTGAAATACGTCATTGTTTTGCCCATTTTTCTTATAGAAATTATTGCAAGCTATTTTCCACATAGAAGCCGGTGTTTTGAATTACAAGGAACAACAAATAACCATAAATGCCTCCTCATATGTCACCGCATTAGCATATGGCATGGAAAAACCTTCATAACTATGAGAAGCTGCACTCAAACTATGAATTTTTTTCAGGTTATTCGACATCTTACCCCATGTAGAATCAATACTGTAAATATTGTCAGAAGGGTGATAGGCACTTTAAAACACCTAGATAACTGACATATTTCCCAAGTTCAGTTTTAATGTTGAATAAAACTACAGTACAGTGTAAGTGTATACAGCTCATAATTAAACAGTAAGCTTAATTATATTCATATAAACTAAACATTTATTTTTAAGTAAAGTTTTGAAAGCTCTATTTATTGAGTTCGAGGCCAATGCTGATCCCAGACCCACGGGAGAATCAATATTAACGAATGTTGATAAGTTTTGGCACAACTCACTGAGGACAAAACAATGAATTTCTGGGAATATTCTGCAAGGGGATCGACACAAAAACTGAATTTGGGATAAAACTGTGGATATAATAACTGTATGTTTTGAGCTGTGCTGTTTGGGCGTCTAGCGCGTTAAACATTTTAAATATTAATGAGATCATTGAAAAAATATAATGACTCGAAAGACCATACTAAAGCTAGTAAAAGTGGAGAGTCTGAAGGAAATTATTCAAATAGAACCCGAGTCCGGCAATGACCAAAGATTGTCTTGAATTATTATCAGAGACGTCACGCTACGTTACTACCTAACCGCAACCGCTAGATCTGCCGAACTCACCACAATCATAATTTAATAACTCTATTTCTGCTAGCAAAGCAGCAGCCATTTGGCCTCTTGCTCATAGGTGGTCCTTTTAGTATCTCTTACCTGATATCAGAATCTTTTGCAAACACTGAGGCGTTCAGTTGTCCAGCTTTACTCTGATACAACACTGGGCAAGGAGCATTGTTCAATCGACAGAATTCACTAAAATCATCAGCTAAATACGAGGGGAGAATAGCTATATTAGTTTGAAGATAGCCAGCACAGTAGCCTGATGTTGGAGCTCCAGCTAAAGATTGGTTTTCACGAAACTGACTCCTTGCTTTCTGTGGAGTCCACTTGGCCTCGTCATCTTTATCCGCCATTGTTGTTCGAAGGTTGATCCGAACGATCGATCACCGATGCTTTCCAACCACAGGAGGCCCAAGCATTATATTTGCGCAAATTCACGAAGCGTTTTAAAAGTGGTATGGACTGAAATGACACCATCATAATAATAAGTGATAGATTGTGGCAATTCTACTTTCTTGTAAAATCCTGAATTTAGAATCTAAAAATCACAATAAATCCAGCTTTTACAATTCTTTTCTTTCTTACAACGTCAATAATCCTATCCTTTTCATAAAGTTTAAAAATAAATTCAAATGATTAATTCAAAAGTTGTTGGGTCCTTCTTGCTCGATTCAGGATAGCTATATTTTGCAACATCTCGTGATGGTAGCCATTTTAGATATTATGGGCGCCGGCATGTGATAATGCAAAACTTCTATTCCTGGGTGGGGGAAAGAGGGGGGGCTTGGGGAAAAGTAGGTGGAGCAACTGAATTTTACCCCTACGTTCCCGAGGATGTTGAACGTTCACCTACAGTACTTCATGGTAACCAATTTCCAATCATTTGAAGATTTGCAAAATTAGGCCCAAGTCATCATCGAATTCATGTTTCTACGACATACGACACGTTCAATAACATTCGTAAACGGATAATCGAGAGCAAAAAGTGTAGCAGATATTCGTAATAATATAATGTCGTTTTCTGGAGAGGATCATTGACCTGTGGCGTCGAAGGGATTTTGGAGGCCAGGAATGGATTACAAAAGATTTCTTGGCCATTGAACAAAAGTGGTGTCGAGCTGAAATCACCAACCTTGTTATTTGAAATTACTAGTGGTGGATTTTTTTTGTATGTCCTTAAATATGACATCAACACAGGAGCAAGACTTGTTCAAATTTATTTATTTTTAACTACATATTTTTTCGTCCTATGCATTGACAGTAAATCCCGTCGGTRCATGCCACAAATATATTGCTTGGGCTGCATGTGTGCTTTGTTCAAGGAAGACAGGGTCACGGGTCTCTCTTGGTTCAAAGATGAGCAGGGGTTTATATTACATGAAATAAATACCTCAAATGGTCGAAGTGTTGTCTAAGTGCAGTCATAGGAAATAGGAGTCAGGATAGCGTTGTGGTGAAACGCTCGCCCCTCACCGCTGCGGTATCGATTCGATTGTTAGCAGTGTTGGTTGCTTTACTTTCTGTCTTCGAGCCTTTTTCCGCTTTTTCCTCTCTCCTCTCAAACACCAACCCCTACTAATTCTAGAGCTGTGCTCCGTTGTCATATACACGCACTTTATAGCGGCTACAAGAGGCGCCTTCACATTGCTTTCAGTTCAACCCCGTTCAGTTGTGCCACTGCTGTGCTCGCTGATGAGGGGGTGAACTATTAGCGATAAACTCAGTTTCCGATTTTGTTTCAATTAAAAGTACCTTTGTCGTTGTCATTGTTAATCATCGTTATGTATAATAGCAACAATGCAACAACAATGATGATGATGATGATATTTAACCAACAGGGGCCTCACATCCTACTATAGGGTTTTATATAATATATATTTTATTATATAATATAATAAATCCGGTGCGCTCATTTACGTCTTATGCTGCTATATTCACCTACAGGTGATTATATATAACTCGCGTACGCGCTCGCTCGTTTGTCGATTTGTATCACTTGCAGAGATAAATCACATTTCAAAAGACAAAAGAACTCTATCTCCGCTATTTATCAAATTCACTTGTGTTAAAAATACTAAAACACAATACAAACTCGCTGGCTGCATAATTCATCAAGAGCGCACAACACGACGCCAGGAAAGTACAACTTGTGCAATTGGTATTTCTTACTGAAGTGTGGCCAGTAGAGTCTTCAGCTTGTTGGCGTGGATGTCATCAAAATCCAAGCCATCAACAGACATGACAGGCTTGAGTCGTATACCATCACAAACACCACGAGACACCAACCACTCGAGAACCTTTCTCTCCTGCATGACAATCAAATATGAAGTTACGTTGTTGAAATGGGTGGTGGTAAATGGAATAAATGAAAGATTCATACAAACGGTCCAGCCCGCCACCGACCCAGCCAAGTAAGGGAGAACCAGAAACCTTCAAATAACTCACCCATGTACATGCAACCATATGACCCAACCCACCCCAGACCGGCAAAAATTGTTTTCTTTTAGTCACCTGATCAACCGTGTTTAGTACTTCTTCTTGACATCTTTCCTGGAGTTCACCAATGCCATGTCTAACGTATCGCGAATGAATGAGACAGTTTTGTAAGATGAATACAGCCATGGCAAGAGCCCAACC